TTTATTAGAATGATATTGAGTTTTGAATTCAAATATGCAGATATATTTTTATGTTAAAGGAGTCTTATCCTATTCGTAGTTTACTAGAAATATTTTTTAAAAAAAATTAGGAACAGATAATGAATTTTAATATCTTCCTGGCATCAGTAACTTTTGCTATATGAGAAACAAATTCCCCCTCTGTCTTCAAAATTGTCTTAGCTATCTTGGTCCTTTTTAAATACATTGCTGGATTTTGTTTGCCAATATTTGATTTAGATGTTTGTCATTAGTGAGCTTGATCTTAAATATTCTCTACTTTTAGTGTCTGTGTCCAGTTTTGTTTTTTTTTTTAACCAAGATTATGTTATTATCATAGAATGAATTTATATGCTTTTTCTTGGCTGGGTGTGGTGGCCCACACTTGTAATTCCAGCATTTTGGGAGGCTGAGGTGGGTGGATAGCTTGAGCCCAGGAGTTCGAGACCAGCCTAGGCAACATGGTGAAACCCCATCCCTACAAAAAATACAAAAATTAGCCAGGTGTGGTGGCTCACATCTGTGGTCCCAGCTACTCAGGAAGCTAAGGTGGGAGGACTGCTTGAGCCTGCGAGGCAGAGGTTACAGTGAGCAGAGACTGTGCCGCTGCACTCCAGCCTGGGCGACAGAGCCAGACCCTGTCTCAAAAAACAAAACCAAACAAAACATTTTCTTTATTTCTTTCCTCTGGAAGAGTACATATGTGATATGGGTCATTTGTCCCTTAAAACTTGGTAAAACTCAGGTGAAAAAAATCTGGATTTGGTGCTTTGATTGGGGGACGGGATGAAACTTCCTCAAATTCCCTTCTCGTTCATATAGTTCATGTTCATCTGTGTCTAATTACACTGTTTAGTCCATCCATGAAGTTTTATTTCAGTGAATCAACTTTTTCAAAACTAGAATTTACACTCAGTTCTTCTGCAAATCTGCTTTTGATGAGTATTCTTTCCCCTATGATCTGTTTGATCTCTTTATACATTTTAAACACGTTTATTTTCCATTCTCTTTCAAATTTGCTCTCTGATCCTCCCTTTGTGCTTGTTCTGTTTGTTTCATTCATCTTGACATGGTTTGTCATTGTGTGCCATCAGCCCACCTTTAGGGGATTGTTTGCTGCAGGCATGCTGTGGGTGTGGACCATGTGGAAGCCTTCCACAGGGTGAAGCTGCATGGCCTCTGTAGGGCCACAGAGATCAGGAAGGTCATGGACCTATTCTGGGGCTAGTTTCTTGATTTGGTGCTTCTGTATCACATGGGGGGTGTAACATCATTACACCTGTGGATTTGCATCCCCTGCCTGCTTCCTTGCCCAATTAAATGCTTGGTGTAGCCTGCTGGAGCCTGATTTCTGCAGGGGGCTCTGCTTTTGTGTGATGCCTTGGCACAGACCTGAGATCTGGTATCCTGTATCTGCATCAGCATCGGGATCACAGCCTGCAGCCTGGCCTGTAGCCCCTGTGACTTTGTTTCTTAACTTGGGTTTTTATTCCCATTTCGTTTCCTGTACTTGGAGATTCCCACTTCTTTCCTTTGAGTGAGGCCACATGATATAATTTGAAAAATCATATTTTATCCAGAATTTTGGATCTGTTTTGTTGACCACAAATCTAGAAACTGTCTTCGATTTCTAAGTGGTTGATTTTTTAAGCAAATGCAAGGAAATTGGGAGAGAAGCATGTATTAACCTATTTTCTGGTTATGCTTATCATCTAAGAATGTGTCTAAACAATTTCTACTTTTGGCATTAATCTACTGGTATTTTTATTCATGTCTTAGAATGATCAATTTGCAAAGTTGTTCACAGTCATTTAAAAAAGTATTATATGCTCTATATCTTTAGTACATAAAGATACATGCTCCAGATCTTTAATTTCTAAATTAAGTTCTAAGACTTGAAAAATCATATTAATATCTCCCACTATCCACATAATTTTAAATTTGTTCTTTTGACAGATTTTGCTTCACATAGCTTGCTATTGCATTATTTGCTGAAGACCCTGAGGTTGGCCTCAGGTTTGAAGTGGCTAGAGTCACACAGCCTTAGCTTCATTATTGGGCCTTCAATTAAGTCTTTCTCATTAACAATATCACTTATGTTCTCTTTTTGTCACAAAATTCAATGCTGCACTTAGGAAAAAGAATCTCGAAAAAAGAAATATGTGATATAAAAATAAGAACAGATAACATTTTAAAACTTGGGGTATAGAGGTGGGGAAGGAAAATGGGAAAGGTAAAGGAATCTAAGTGTATTTTATTTTATAGGGAGGAATCAGTGGAAACTATGACATTTATAAAGTTGACAGAAAAATGTAGATGTAAATGTGCTGCATTTTAAAATTTGCTCATCTTTTCTTCCTCCACAGGTTCTTGTTCATATTATTTTCTGCATGGAAATGAACAGGTGAATTACTAACTAAAGGCCAAGTGTTTTCCTCAAACACTATTTTTCCCCTTAGAATATTTTTAATAGCTGTATGCTTGAGTTTTTGGGTGTTGCTTACAGCACAGAATATGATCAAATCACTGCCTTCATTTTCTCCAAACTGTTGGCATTGTGCTAAAGGCATGGGTTTGTGATTTAAGCCAAATCCCTACCCCAACAACCTCTATTTCTTTTTGAATATGAATGAGGTGACAAGCCTGTGCATATGTTTGCAACTATATATTAGGAAAGGAAGAAAGGAGAGAGAGGAGGGACTGGTTTCCCAAGAAAGAAATACAATTTCACAGAGAAGTTGGAAAATAGGCCTTCGAGTTCTCACTTTACAAATCCATAGTGAATTTGCATTTCATCTTCTTCCTATTACTATTTAGATGGGGTCTCACTGTTTCACCGAGGCTGGAGTATAGTGGCATGATTTCAGTTCACTGCAACCTCTGCCTCCTGGCCTCAAGTGATCCTCCAGCCTTAGGCTCCTGAGTAGCTGGGGACCATAGGTGTGCACCACCACACCCAGTTAATTTTTTGTATTTTTGGTAGAGACAAGGTTTCACCATGTTGCCCAGGCTGGTCTCGAACTCCTGAGCTCAGGCCATACACCTACCTCAGCCTCCCAAAGTGCTGGGATTACAGGCATGAGCCCGTGCCTGGCCTCATCTTATTTAATACAGCATCTTGTGTAACCTTTGAGCAACAGCACATAGCGTAGATTCTCTCTCTCCCCAGCCCACTTCCATGTATCTTCAGAGAGCTTGGGCCTGAAAGCCCGCTTGTCTGGGAAGTCTTCTTTGGAAGGTATTGATGTCTTTGAGTTAAACCCTCAGGAGTTTCTGATGTTAGACTTGGGATTTTGGTTAAAGAGAGAGAAAAGGGGGACTTAAGCGACATCGCAATTGAAAGGGAGAGAAAAGAACTCTGCTGGGGATGCATGTCCAACTTTCACACTGTGACTACTCAGGGATATTTCAGAATGTTTTCAAATAGCACGTACTTTTTGGATCTGTGAGAGCATTTCCAAATATTAAGAAAACTAACTGAATGTTTCCAATGTTTGGAATTACTCCAAGGCCAGGAATTCCAGATGTTTGTGAGGAAGCCATAGCATGTGTCTGTTTAACTACTAAAGTGGGTTTTATGATGTCAAGAAGGAAATATCCACACCCCTTCAATTCTTCTTCTTTAAAAACAAGATAACCTCCTTCAAAAGGCTATCAGGAGCCAGGTGCGGTGGCTCACACCTGTAATCCCAGCACTTTGGGAGGCCAAGGCGGGTGGATCAACTGAGGTCAGGAGTTCGAGACCAGCCTGGCCAACATGATGAACCCCGTCTCTACTAAAAATTAAAAAAAAATTAGCTGGGTGTAGTGGTGCACACCTGTAATCCTAGCTACTTGGGAGGCTGAGACAGGAGAATCACTTGAACTTGGGAGGCGGAGGTTGCAGTCAGCTGAGATTGTGCCATTGCACTCCAGCCTGGGCAACAAAAGCAAAATCAGACTCCAAAAACAAACAAACAAACAAACAAAAACAAAAAACACACAAAAACGGCTATCAGGAGGAGAAAACTAGTGTGAGTGATTAGTCAACAAATGTGTGTCCTCCTCTCCTCCTTGCTCTCTCTACCTCTCAGGGCTGTTGTAGCAAAAAGATGTGAAGCATTTAGAAGGTACATAGCATTACAGAAAATGCAATATATTATGATGGTTATCACTACAGATGTGGAATAAATAATTATCTGTGTGAGGGATGCCAGATCCAAATCATAACCAGTGCTTCTGGCATCTGTCCCTCATATAATCATCTTCCCCATCTCTCCTGGTCAACCACATGAATCACACACATCTTTAAATTAGGAACTTGACTGCTACAAATGTCTCATGAAGAAGCCAATGTTATGATAATTCATTTTTTCTCATGAAATGCACTTAGTTTTACTTCCATATTCCTGTATTTCATGTAAGATATTCACCATGATGAGAGTTTCTTGGCTACTCCACACAAGAACCATCCAGATTGAAAAAAGCTGCACAATCTACATGTGCAAGCCTAATGGTTTGGTTTTCGGTTTATTCCAGATTAATGCATTTAGACCATCCCTTTTTCACACTTACCCTTAAAGGTCCCAATACTTTGTTAAGACGCCTCACATTTCTCCAGCCCTAATTAACCATCACCAGCACTGCCACCTGAGAGTGAGCCACTTGGTAGATGGCAGGGGACAAGGAAACCAGTGTCCCGCTGCTTCCCGAGGGCTGCTGCAGGGCTGGGACTTGTGGCTCTGTGTTTTGTGGAGGACGGGGGCTCAAGTCCAGCCTTGCTCTGCTTACCAAGCTGGATGCCCATGGGACTGTGCCCACCGAGGGGGTGCCTTTTCTGACTGGAACCACTGTAGGGGCTCACTATGCCCTTGCTACGGGTCTTTCTAGCAAAGAAGACTCTTTTCTGCTGGTTTCATGTCTGTGGCCTTGCTGGAAGCAGGGCTGGGAATTCCCTTCTCTGAAGCCAGTTGAAGAAACCCATGGACTCTGCAAGGACTTACTGAGTGTGACTGAGTCATTGATCTTGAAGCTGCAGAGGACCCTGTCCACGTTGCGGGCATGTCGGAAGCCATTTCCTCTCACGACAACTTGAAATGACTCTGAAATAAAGAATAATGACAAGACTCATTACTTGACCAATAACCTTAAGCTTCCCATCTGCCCTGATTTACAGCATTTGTTCACTATTTCACCAGGCTTAAAATATTCAAAAATTAATTTAGGTTGAAAACCAAAAGCAACCAGATGGGTTCCTTTCACAACTTACCAGTACATCCTCACTAGGTGTCCCGAGGAGGGCCTATCACTTCTTATTTGAATTCTCACCCTTTTATCTTTGGGCTTACTGGTCCTCCTAACCCGAAAGCCTTCCTCCCTCCTCTCTGTCCATTCAAATCTTAGCCAATATTCAAGTCCAGGCAGTTTGAAAATCTGTAATCTCTGTAGCCAGAGGGAGCCACAGGGGAGGGGCCCTCCACTTCCTCTTTAGTCAACTCACCTCCTCTGTGTCTGTTTTACACATTGTACTCCTCTGAAAGGATTTCTTAAGAGCCCACAGGGCCTACATTTTAGAAAGTCACTGCCTTAGGGCATTCACAACTTGTCCTGAACAGTGTAGGATTGTCATTACGTATGGTCTGGTGTTGTTTTCTTGTCTTTTCTCCCCCAGCTGGAAAAACATTCCTTTAAGTCAGGAGTTGTTTGATACCACTATGGCACTCCTATCTCTGCTGGGCACACAGTAGCACTACATAGGCTAGGTAGGAATGATTGTACTTAGGAATGAATCACAGTCTTGCTTAGCAGCGCTCAGTTGCCAAGTACTACCTACTTGAATTGATATCAGCCCCTCAGTGTAGTACTCTTCTGCATAGAAGAGATCATATATCTTGCTGGCCTGCATATTAATTTCTCATTGGCATAACGTATGTTTGATTAATACACATGAATAAAATCGTCATTAAGTAAAAACAACTATCCTTTACAATAGTCCTAACATGGAAAAAACCCAATAATTAGTTGGCTAAATGTTTGGGAATATTTGCTTAAGTTTGTTGGTATCTAATGGTCAGTGTTCCACTTTTTTCCCTTTTATCAATCATCCTTTTGTATCTACAAATTGGGGATTGGGATAATGCTATGTGGAATATCACAAGAGAAATAGACTAAAGGTCAGAGGAAAAAATGCAGCGTTTGTGAATGTGGATCTTAAACAGTACATTGCTGTCTAAATGTTGACTTTTTGTTGGAGGAAGAATGAAATTAGAGAATTAGTATATGGGACTCTCAAAGTTTAATAAATGTCATGAGTGTATGCCACCTTCATTCCCAGGAAACTGATTTAGAGGTCATGTTTGCCAAGACAATAATAACTAATGCTAATTGCTCCCTCAATGTGAGCCAGGCCCTCTGTGAAATATTCTACATGTCTGAGTCATTTAAACCTCACCACAGCCTGGGGAGGTACAGATGAGAAAACTGATCTTAGTGAAGTTAAGTAATTTGTCCAAGATCCCACAGCTGGTAACTGTCAGAATCAGAACTGGAATCGAGGTCTGTTAGGCACCAAATGCCATGCCTTTAGAACTCAGCCATTCTCTTCTGAACCACCATGCGAAAATGGGGACTCATTGCCTTCTGACAGATGAATCATTTAGGAGTTGAAGTTGTGATTTTTTTTAAAGCTTATTTTATTTTAATTTTAGGCAGGTTTGCTGATTTTGCAGAAAAGTGGAGCAGGCCTGGATGTGAAGCAAGAAGCTGAAATTTAAGTAAAAGAATGCAGAGGCACTACATGTGCCACAAGGAGTACAAGTTAGAAAAGAATGCTTTTTAGAAGTAGAAGAGACCTTCACAATAAGGAAATGGAGATTGTGACATTTTGAATGACTTGCCCAGAGTCATGTCATTAGTAAAGCAGAAAAACTGGGACTCATATCCAAAAGTTAAGGTGATGGGCCTATGGTTTTTTCAGGAGCATAAGTCCTATGACTATGAAGGATTTATATATACATGTTGATGCAAATGCACAATTGCTACATTTGGAAAGATGGGCTTAGTAGTTTTCTTTAGATGTCTGTCAGGCATCTGACAGATTCCTCGGTTGGCTCAATAAGCAATTTAGTACGTGTCAAGCATTTGTAGAAGAATCTTGTCTTCTCTTATTTGCTCAGTTAAGCCTATAGAAACCTATTTCTGTGTCCATTTTGAATGCCAGACATACAGACATCTGTCGTTTGACGTTTTTGCTGATTCCAAATATTTTCTGCCTCACTGCTGTGCCTACTTCTCTTGTTTCCTGAAAGATCAGCAGAGGAAAAGAAGACTGTGGAAATGCAGGCCACATGCCAAACTCTATTCTCTAACACCATGTTCTAACATTACCAGTTGAGTTGCTAAATCCTCTATAAAAGAGGCTGCCTGCATGTCTGCTTGGCCCGACCTCAGGGAGTTTAGGAAGAAAGACAGCAGGAATCCATGATGTGGCAATGGTGGAAACCAAACAATTTAACCCCCTAAGCGAGGGCAGAAGATGGAGGCAATGATGCTCTGGGGAGTGCACCCAGGCAGAGGCGAGCTCCCATCCTGCCCGATAGGGTTTCTGTGTTAGTGCACACATTTGGTTACCAGAAGAGCCCAAACATCTGGCCCGACAGCCTGACTAGAATGTCAGCTCTTCACACATAGACGTTATATAACAAAACCCTTTTGAATGAATCTGCCAGTAAGTGAAAACCAGGACACACTAGAAACAGGACACTGATTTAATTCCACTAATCTACAAAGCCCCGAACCCACCTTTCAAAATATGTACAGCTGTGTTTTCAGGCAACTTGTATGTTGGCTTACAGCTCCTATAAGAAGTACCTCAAGATTGCAGGGCTTTAGGGAGGAATTTTCCACCTGAAAATGGTCTTTGATTTAATCTTTTTAGTTATATATCCTTTAAGGTTCCCTTAAGATCTATATTCTTTTGTCACTGTTATTGCCAATTACAATGAAAGCTTCCTGATGGCAGAGGCCAACATTTCTACTTCTTCTGAATGCTGGGCTGTGCCTTAACCCAGGACTGAGTCAGTCTCAGGATGAGCTCACTGAGTGATTGAATAAATAACATATCTTGGCATAGAAAGAGAATAAAGGGGAAGGATAAGGTGGTCATTTATTCAGGTCCCAGCCAGGTCTAATCCTGTTTGTTTTCTGAGGCTTAATAAGGTCCATGAATGAAAAGATGTTCAACATCATTAGTCACATGGAAATACAAACCACAACCATATGGAGATATTACTTCATACTCACTACGATGGCTGAAAAAAAAAGAGACGGACAATAGCATCTGCTGGTGAAGAAATTATAACCCACATACATTTCTGGTGGAAATGTAAAATGCTGTGGCCGCTTTGAAAAATAGTTTGGCAGTTCTTCTACAAAGTTAAACATAGTGACCTTATGTCCCCCAAATTCCACTCCTAGACATATACCCAAGATAATTGAAAGTTATGTCCACACAAAAACTTATACATTAACGTTCACAGTGGCATTATTAAAAGCAGCCAAAAAATGGAAATAACCTAAATGTTCATCAACTGATGAGTATGGCATTTCTATAAAATGGAATATTATTCAGCCATCACAAGAAATCAAATTCTCATACATGCTATGACATGGATGAACCTTGAAAACATTATGCTAAATAAAAGAAGCTAAATACAAAAGGCCACATATTGCATGACTCCCTTTGTAAGATATGTCCAGATTCCCAAATCTGCAGAGACAGAAAGTAGATTAGTGGCTGCCAGGACCGGAGGGAGGAAGAAATGGGGCAATAACTGCTTAATGGGTATAAGGTTTCTTCTGGAATTAGTTGTACAACTTTGTGATATATTAAAAACCACTGAATTGTACTTTTTATTTTACCTTTATTTATTTAGACGCAGTCTCACTCTGTCACCTAGACTGGAGTACAGTGGCATGATCTTGGCTCACTGCAACCTCTGCCTCCTAAGTTCAAGCTATTCTCCTGCCTCAGCCTCCCGAGTAGCTGGAATTATAGGTGTATGCCACCACACCAGGCTAATTTTTGTATTTTTAGTAGACACGGGGTTTTACCCTGTTGGCCAGGCTGGTCTCAAACTCCTGACCTCAAGTGATCCACCCACCTCAGCCTCCCAAAATGCTGGGATTACAGGTGTGAGCCACCATTCCTGGTCTGAATTGTACCGTTTAAAAGGGTGATTTTTATAGTAGGTAAAATATAGCTCAATTTAAAAAAAGAAAAAATAAGGTCAGTAAGTAGTTTGATAGATTTATTCCATTCTGTTCTCTCCTTTTATTTCTTTGGTTTCCTTTTTTCTTTTTGGAAATGTGGAACACATAGCTTTGAGATGACCTCAATAAAGATTGCATATCATTCACTCTGTCTGAAAATGAGGTATCTGTATATTCTCCACTTGTTCTGGTCACCCAAGACTTTTGTGCCAAATTATTGTTAGTGATATTTCATCTTGTGAGTCAGTTTGAATTTGCTCTCCTCTTAGATGCTTAATGTGGCATAGAACATCAAAAATAAAACGTAGGGACCGACATATAATGGGTGCTTTCTGATGCCTGAATTGTTCTAGAACTTTTTTCAGTTATAGCTTTTAATTTATAATAACTTTAGTGAGGCATAATTGATATACAATAACTTGCACATAAAGTGTATGATTTCATAAATTTTGACATATGTATACAATCATAAGACAATACCACAGTCAAGACAGTGAGTGTAGCTGTCACCCCCAAAAGTTTCCCTGTGTTGCTTTGTAATCTCTCCTCCCAGCCCTCCCTACCTCCACTCCCACACAACCACTGGTCTGCTCTCTGGAACTGTATATTAGTTTGCATTTTCTGGAATTTTATGTAAATAGGATCATTCAGTAAGTAATTTTCTTGTCTGGCTTCTTTTACTCAGCACAATTATTTTAGGACACATCCACAATTACTTTGAGATTTATACATAGTTTATTGCTTTTTATTGCTGAGTATTAATTAGTCCATCATACAGGTAAACTATAATTTGTTTATCCACCTACCTGTGGATGAACATTTTAGTTGTTTT